ACTTAGGTATTACCTAAGTATTCAACTGAATACTTAGGTATTACCTAATCCACTGTACGGTACATCTTGGATCCAAACAAACGCGATGATTTTGACGCACCACACATTACGCGTCCAATGTTATAACATAATATACCTATAGACCTTATAACTTATAAGGTCTAAGGTACTTAATTAACTAAATAAAATAAATAATAAATGGTCAGAAAAAGTAGGAACAACAGTATAAGTATAGAAGTATAATTTATAAGTTTACCTATATTTATATCTAAGTACCTTAGACCTATACTATTTATAGGTTATAAGTATAATTTATTTTATACCGCGGCAAATAAAACTATATTCAAACAAATTGTTTCTTAAGTGTTTTTTTCTAAATTATCAGATCATACCACAAATCATCAATTTATTTTTTATTTTATATAATTTTTTCTTATTTTGTGATTGTAATGAACAAACTACAAATAAGTAAATCTTAAAAAAAATCTGATTTCCTTTTAAATTAACACAATGAAATAAGTGTTCAGTTTAAAATTGTCTGGATTTTTAAACTTTCTTATTAAAGCATTTTCTTATCTTGCTCGAAACATGACACAGTTTTTGTCATTTCAACACGATGCATTTTTAGATTGATTAAACGTCGAATCGCGTTGAACACAATCCAAAATATCTCATTTTGTTAATTCTCTTATAAAATACACTGGTGTACCCAGTATTTTAGCTATATACAGGATATCCAAAAATTGGTGGACCAAAAAGGTAAGGTAAATTCCTCTTAAAATTCCAAGACGAATTTTCCTTGCAGAACTGCAATTTTAACTGTAAGTATTTAATTGTTAAAGGAACCAATGCATGAGGGCGGATCGCTCTATGATGAGTTTTTGTTATATTTTTTGTGTTTAAAAAAGACGCTGATATTCAAATCAACAAAAACAAGTTCGGTGCGTGTTGTCCGATAGAGCAGAAACACTGTGCTGTCATTGTAGGCCTTAAAAATTAAAAAAAAAACTTCTCCTTATGTTATCCATATATTGGATTACATAGGGGATTACATTGCACATATCATTAATTCTTCTATACAGTGGCCCTTCAGGGCCCGCGGTACGGGGGAACCCCAACCCTAAGGGGGAACCCTAACCCTAAGGGGGCCCCTAAAGACATCATAACCTTGTAAAAAGTTATTTTTTTGTAGTTATTAAGTAATAATTATTAATGTTGAAGGGGGAAACGTTAAAACTTAGACTATAAGGATTAAATTATAATTTAATTTAAGACTGTGATATTTTCAGATAGAAAAAAAAACCGGTAGACAACCAAATAAATTAAATCAACTCTCTAAAAATGAAATAGTCAAAATTCTACTATTTGAATTAGTACCAGCATTTTTTACTAATAAAATAGTCGTTTTCACTTTTAAATAGTTATTTTTTACTACGTAAATAGTTAAAGTTTGACTAATTTAAGATTAGTCACCATCTTTGACTATTTCTGAGAGTTAAAAGTAACAACAAAGTATTATTTAAATTAAATGCATATACCTAAGCTCCATGGCTAAATGACCCATACTCGGACCCATAAAAACAAATAAAGATGCAAAAGTTTACCTCAAAACTACCACACAAATAATATCTATATAGCTATAGCCGGCTATAGCTATTCAACTTTAAAATATTATGTACAATATGTATTGACAAATAAAATTGAATTTTATAAGAGCGACTGATAGCCACATTGGTTATGACAACAGCTTGACAAGCTTGACAAGTAACAGACCTGAGTTCAATCCCCGGCTGGGTCAAAACTTTTTTATATTTGGCTATTTCATTCAGTAGAATTTGACTAATTATAATTATTAGTGACTGCTTTTTCGCTATGACAATTAGTCAAATATCTTTCCTTATAATATTATTGTGTTTTTGCTTTGCCATATATTTGATATTTAAAGTTTTCTTTTTTCGTGTCTTAACTTTGTTATGTATATTTTATATGAATTTATATCATATAAATTATATGTATAATCATACTATAATGTAATACTTGTTTAAATTTTCTCATCTTGTCATTGGTCCAAGCAGGGCCGGCGACAATAGCGGTGCTCGCGGGCTCAAGCACCACACGTAAAGGAAAATGGTGGTGCTCAGCACCACACGTATCTTCAGCAGAAAAATTGCATTTCTTATGCGGTCTCTAAATTTTTTATCCTGGTAGCCAGGGATACACACTAACGCCCTCTACAAATTTACGGTTGAAGCTGAGGATTTATAGAGGGATTTATAGATCTGACGTTGCCGTTGCCGTTCGTCGTTGCAGTTGCCGTTCAAAAGATAAACATGTGACCGTCTACCATTTCATTCATAGTTTGACGTTCGCTTGACGCCGACGTTGCAGTTGCCGTTCGAGTTGGCCAACTTTTAACTTTGCAGTTCGTATCGCGAACAGCAGCCAATCAAAATGCTAGTTTTCCGCATGCGCAATATGATATATCCATGAATATAAATTAAATGACATTTGTTGTTTTGTTTTGATTTTTGAAAATACCATTATGGATAACAAGAATAGTGTTGATTTAGGAAAATTTAGGAAATTTTAGGTTTAATTGTTTCCAATAGTTGGTCATACAAAGCTACAGTCATTCTTGTGAATTTAAAAAATTGTTCTTCATCTAGAACTTTCATCTTTTGAAAATAAACATATTGGCTATTTAAACGCCTGTTTTGGTTTATTGGCCGGATTCTAAAACGCCTTACACGTTTTTTCCTCCACTTGATGATTGCAGCTGAGGATAACAAAACACCAAAAGTACCCAACAGCAAATTATTATTCATTTTAGGTTCACGTTAAACCAAATAACAAATATACACAACGAATGTTCGGATCATAGGTTCATTGAACTATGTAAAAATTGACAAGCACGATCAGATTTAAAATGGGCGATTCTGATTGGCCAGCTGTTCTCGTTGAACTTCAATGTATAAATGCAATAAACTTGACGACGCTGCTTCCCAACGGGAACGGCAACTGCAACGACGAACGGCAACGGCAACGTCAGATCTATAAATCCCGCTTTAAGTATCGGTCGGTATAGTATGTATAAGTATGTATCTTGGTATAGTAGGAATAGTAGGTATAGTAGTATAGTAGGAATAACATACCGACACGTCGCAACGTGTATTTAGGGTATTTCTCCTATACCGACGGAAACCGACCAAACTTTAAGTTATAATATTATTATTATTTACAGTATCGTGCAGTTTGTTTATTATCTCTGAGTTCCTGTTTGCTACCACCAATTGTGTTAGTGGACTTTTTATCAACAAAGGTAAGTAAGTTCGAATCCTAGAGTAACTCTGATTTAATTGTCTCTCGTAACAAAATCTAAAACGATTATTTTAAACCCGTATTTTTGAAGCTGGTAACCCTTAATCCAAGAAATGGCAGGTGGTAACCCTTAAAACGTCCGATGTGGCAGTAATATACCTATCCCATTCGATTCCATTACAGGGTGAGTTTTTTAACTTGAAACTTTAAAATATGTCGCGTAATAAGCACTGTCGAAAAAACTATATAAACTAAATTTAATCATTCCGGGGGAAGATATATTAGTGCTAAAATTAGTAGTGTGCTCTCCCTGTATATAAAATGTGACTAAGTTTGATAAATAAATTGACTAAAAAACTATTCCAATTTTATTTTGTTCTCCTTCCCGCAACCCCCAAGGAAAAGAACACCCACACCCCCCATCAGTGGCGGCTGGTGGATTTTGGGTATACCGATATCTCAATTATTAGATATGGGAGCCACACCAAATAAATATAGGTAATATAAATTTAATTGGTGCAATTTATTATTTACCATAGTTTATCGACAAATTTAAAATTTTATTTAAAAAATCCAAATAATACAGATTTTATATCATTTTAAATTTTTATTATTTCTTTTCAAAAAATTTAAAATGGTATAAAATCGGTATATTTTGGATTTTTTAAATGAAATTTGAAAATTGTCGATAAATTATGGTAAATAATAAATTGCACCAATTAAATTTATATTATATTTATTGGGGGCGCCATGGGGCCGGTACAGCCGAGCAAAAATTTATCTTTTTTTTGCAAACTTCAAATTAAATTCTGCTTGAGCAGAACTTGTTTATTTAATGTCATTATAAACTCATATAAATTTGGTGTGGGTCCCATATCTAATAATTGAGATATCGTTATACCCAAAATCCACCAGCCGCCACTGCCCCCCATCCATTAACCACTGCTACTAACAACTGTAGATGAGCACCACACGTCAAAATGAAAAGCTGCCGGCCCTGGGTCCAAGGACTGTTAGATGATGTATTAAATAAATAAATAAATAAATAAAATATGTCTAATAATTAGTTATTTTTGACTAATTCATTTTAAAAAGGGGCGTGCAGAAGGCCGACCCTCCAGGCTGTAGGGGCCTTTCTAAAGAACCACATCCAAATCTAGTAAAACTATAGTTTGATAGGTATACCTATCAATTTAATTACATGCTGGGTGTTTAACCAGCAAAAATAAGGTTATTAATTTTGGGTGTTAAAAAAGACACTACCTCTATATTATATAATATATTTTCCAATATAATTGGAAAATGCATTTATTATAACTATTCCCGTCTCGTAGCCCTCTACGGTAAAAGACTTAGACCTATAAGCATTTTGCCAACTACAGGTTAGTCGCTACCTGCTTTTTGACCCTTATTTTCATTTTTGGTGTATACAGTTGAATCATAGCAGCATTCGCTAAACGCATTGGCAATGCAATGTGTCATTGCCTAATTATTAAGTTTGGATTCACCCGGTCTGAATACTGTTACCGTGAAAATACGGTGGGTATATTTTCAAAGATATCGGAATAATGAAATGGACCTGATCTTGAGCACGCCAGTGTATTATTTCATTAGCTATCGATATTTATGTTAAGAAATTAACGCACCCGATAATCTAACAAATACATCTCTCTGTGTTCCAGATTCGCATTCCCAGCTGCTGACGGGACTTGTAGCGGTTCTATTGACCGTTTGCAGCGTCGTCTTTTTGGTCGGATGCCTTTGTTGTCACCGTAAAAATGGATTTAAGGTAATTTAGCACATTTATCGATTTGCCATACTTATCCGCTATAGTAACACGAGCGTCTTCCATTATCTAAAGGATTTAAACATGAGCTATATTATATATTAGAACAAAGGGGTGTCTGGATTATTAATGGGAGGCGATAAACCATTATTATGTTTGGCCAGTGGCGGCTGGTGGATTTTAAGTATACCAATATCTCAGTTATTAGACATGGGACCCACACCAAATTTATAATAGTTTATATTGACATTAAATAAACAAGTTCGGCGCAAACAGAATTTAAATTGAAGTTTGCGAAAAAAAGTTAGTTTTTCCTGTCGCCTACCCTGCCTCCAGGCCCCCCTATTTGAGATAATTCAAATTAAAGTGGTGCAATTTATTATCTACTATAATTTATCGACAAATTTAAAATTTTATTTAAAAAATCCAAATATTACAGTTTTTATACCATTTTAAATATTTTTTTATTTTAATAAAATAAATAATAAAAATTTAAAATCGAATAAAATCTGTAATATTTGGATTTTTTGAATAAAATTTTAAATTTGTCGATAAATTATAGTAGATAATAAATTGTACCACTTTAATTTGAATTATCTCAAATAGGGGGGCCTGGAGGCAGGGTAGGCGACAGGAAAAACTAACTTTTTTTCGCAAACTTCAATTTAAATTCTGTTTGCGCAGAACTTGTTTATTTAATGTCAATATAAACTATTATAAATTTGGTGTGGGTCCCATGTCTAATAACTGAGATATTGGTATACTTAAAATCCACCAGCCGCCACTGTGTTTGGCTTCTGTTTTATGTTAAAATATTAAAAATAGCTTAATTATAGTGTTGTTATAAACATGTTATTTGATATTCTAATTTGAACCGATACAAAATAGATTTCTTAAAAATAGATTAGTTTGACAACTAATCACTTATTTATCATTATAATTATACAAAAACAAATCAATAATTTAAAAACAATATTTTTTGGTCAGTCACCAAGTAGGTTAATTTCAAATATTTTCATATTCTTAAAAAAAAAGTTATAAAAAATAAAATACTTATTTATGTATCAAGGCAGTAAAGTCGTATTTTTTATCACGAATGTGGAAATTATTTGCAGAGGGGTATTTCCATTTAACGGATGCGACACTAAAACTGCCTTTTTTAATGATAATAAAGTGTTTGTTCATATACCGTTCCTTCATTTGCAAGCTAACCATAGGGAAAATACATTGTAACTGGACCAGATAAGTCTTAGTCAGCACGAAGCGAAAAACGTTGTAGAAATGATTTGGACGCGTGGACGAGTAGGCTAGCATGCGCCGTAACAGTTGACCTTGCTTCATACATCGATGCTTTATTATTGTTTTTTATTTTGTGCGGTGTAAATCTGGTAAAATTTGTTTTAGTACGCATGTCTCGACGACGCATCCAAATCATTTCTGAAAAGGTTCTCGCTTTGTGTTGACTGCGACTTATCTGGTCCAGTTACAATGTATTTTCCCTATGGTTAGCTTGCAAATGAAGGTACGGTATATCAAGATACGTTAATATAAAAAAATAGTATAAAAAATTAGGTATTTAACTCAAACAAAATGTCAATAAAAACTTGTATAGAAAACCTTTTATAACGTCATGAATCGCGTAACGGGCGTGACCTTAGAAAATCGGCAAATGCGATCAAGTTGGCTTTTAAAGTTGATAATATAAAATTTTGGATGATAAAGCATATAGTAATAATTTTTTGTGTAAAACTTGAATAGTAACGTCATACAAGCACGTATTTTAAATTCACAAAATGCCTAAACTCGTTGCTCGACCACTTTGGATTTTGCTCAAATTTTATAGAAATCTTTATTAGGGTCCCAAAGAATAAAATCCACCCTTCTTTAATTTTCCCAGGCGGTAAATCCGGCCTATTCGAATTAAAACTTTTTAAAAACGTCATTTTTATGCTTTAATAATTTTAGCTGTAATTTTTTTCTATTAAAGATATTTTAAATTTTAGGATGTCATTTTAAAGCTAAGAGATAGTAGTTTTTATAAAAAAAATATTAATTCACTTAATCAATATTTCTATATAATTACACCGTGCTGAAAAAACGTGTATTTTACTAATTTTTCGTGTTACTGGTTACTGTTTAAATTAACGTTAAATTTACGTTCTGTCTGGTTAATTTACTAAAGTTATATTGTACTATAACGTTAAATTAACCTTAAATTAACGTTATTTTGTAATAAGTGGGGAATAAAAATTATGGTTAATTTAACGTTATGTTAAGTAAATTTAACTTCTTGGTTAATATACCTGTCGGTTAAAAAAAGTTCTTATTTGGTAATTTTTGGTTAATTTTACCCTTTTTTGACTGCTTTTTAACTCTTTAGTCAACTTAAACTAATGTAAAAAACCAACCATTTTAAGTTTATTTTAACTTAATATAATTATAATTTACCAAGTAGATATATTATACTACACCAAGTATGCATAGATCTATGAGTCTTAAGATTTTAAATAAAATGTCTCCCCTGAATATTAATATCTTCATTTTAATATTTAAAAGAGGTAGTTCTAGGAGAAAAACCAATGAGGTATTTTTTCTGATGAAATGGTTCATAATACTTTTATATTTTAAACGCGCTCAAAAAAGAATAAGAAATAAAGAAAATAAAAATTAAAAAAACATATTTTTTTTTGCTTATTTATTTTTTATTTTACTTAAAATTGATTTAAAATACTTTCAAACATAAAATAATATTATTTTTTCTACGACCACTATGTAAAAGTCACTTTTCATGATGGCATCGTTGCTTAGAAAATGAATCTTTTCATTTGCAAGGCAAAACACGAATGTAAAGTGACAGGTCTGTGTGAAAAGAACCGGAAAGCATCGTTTGACATTCAGCTGTCAAAAAAGTTTTTAGGTTATTTTGTTTTGTATTTAAAAATAATAAAAAATAAAAGGGTCGCATGCAGAAAAAACATTGTGTTATACTTGTGAGAAAAGCTTTCTTTAAGCTCGTGTTAATGCACACTCGGCCTAACGGCCTCGTTGGCAACTTAAAAACTCGCATGAAAAAGTCGCTTTTCAACACTTGTAAAACAAATAACTATTTTATTATTGGTTTATTTAAATTACCTTATTTTTGAAACGAAAATCAAAAATAAAAATTAATGGCATTTCCTTTTGTAAAATCAACAGCAAGCAATATGGCGATTATAGGATGCTTTTACTAATTGGTTATTTAACCAAAATAAATTAACCTGCAAGTTTATTTAAACCATTTAGTTATTTCCTTGTGTTAACTACTTTATTTACCTATCAGTAATTTATAACTCTTTGGTTTTGGTTTCAATTTGGCTACATTTAACACATTATAGTTTTAAGGCCGTATTGCATGTTGTTTTACAGTCAGCAATGGCAAGACAACTTGCTAGAGGTGTGTAGTTCGCGATAGAGGCAGGTATAACGATACGCATATCGATATAATATCGATACATATTCTGCAAACACTGAATCGATATATCCTTTGCGTATCGTTAGTTTATATCGTTAAATTAAAAATCACGAATTAAGCAAAATAGAAAATATGCGAACGGAAAAAAGTTAAACCCAAAGACGTAGATAACCAGGGCCGAGCCGTGCCGGGGGTGCAAGGGGTGCATGGCACCCGGGCGGCACTAACACAGGGCGGCAAAATATCATCAAAAAAATTGTATCATATTATCAAGAATAAAAAAGCCACCTTGCAATATGCAAAAAACTTTCTAAAAATCACTTGCGTTTTATTAATGTCGGCGTTTCAAGGAATCATCGTATTTATTCCATAGACAAGGGATTGATTGGTGGGCGGGGGGCTATTCTACACATAAAAACAATGCCAAAATTGTGCGGTCAGGCGACAATGATAAAAAAGACATAACCGAACGCGCGATAGCCACAAAAAATGATGATGACAATTTTCTTAAAGCCCGGTTTATAGATTGCCTCCCGCCCGCTTCGCTTTCCGTCCGTCCGCTTCGAGTTCGTCAAGTTTCATGTTTTACGGAAGCGGGCTTACGGGAAACCAATCAAATCGCGCGCTGTGTACCACGTGATATTGTTTACAAGCTGAACTGTTAAGTTAAAGCATAATTTCTTCCGATTTGACGGCTGCGTATTTCAGCAATTTTTAGTTTTTCTATTAACGTGAGGCAAATAGGATGCAAACATAGTAGTTTCTTTTGTCTTTTAATGCGTTTAAGTTAAAAACTAGTTAATGATTTAAAAGTCATCTTTCCGAATTTATTTGTAGCTTTAAGAATATTTTTGACGATGCCAGTTACTGTTGCCCATGGAGAGCGGTCATTTTCGAAATTAAAACTAATTAAGACCTATTTAAGATCCAATATGAGTCAATTCAGGCTTTCAAATTTAGCAATTATAAGTATTGAAGAAGATATTTCTAACAACTTGGATGTAGGCGACTTGATTAGGGAATTTGCTATTAAAAAAGCGAGAAAAGTAGATTTTAGTTTTTTAGTTTAGTTTAATTATTTTTGTTTTTTTTCCTGAATGTATTTTTATTTTATTCTTTTATGTATTTGTTAATAAATACTTTGTTATTTTATAAAATTTGTTATAAGTATGTTTATTGAGAATGATAAATTATGAACTCCTTCCCTACCGACAACCTAATTTTTTACATTAATGGGGGCGGCAAATTTAATTCTTGCACCCGGGCGGCAGATACCCTAGGCTCGGCCCTGTAGATAACTTTCTCTGTCTATGGTTAAACTCTCTATGTCTATGGTTAAACCAAACATATTCGCGAAGTAAGATACAAGACAAATAGTATTAGCTACGTTCGCAAAGCGATCAGAATTGCGATTGTGATTTTTTCGGCCGATGTTACATTATTATAGTTTTTGTTATTTATTAGGTATTTATTCTGATCTGTGTTATTTTAAAAGGCGCAATTGGCCTTCTAAACTGATTTTTGTTTTTTTAATAAAGTTTATTTTTTTATT